GTGTTTTTGTAAATTTTTTGGATTATGACTATTAAATATGACACACATTATTGTAAGTCATAAATCGTTCAGATTTTAAGAAACATGACATTTTTTATGACACACATTTTTTGCAAGTCATAAATTAGCGTGTGTCATCGTTCGTGTGTCATTAAAGGTATATTTTCTTGTAGTGACTATTATAATACATATGTAGACACCCATTTTTGTTCGGAGTTACTCTAAGGATTTTTATTATATAGTATATAAATATATATATAGTTTTTGAAAAATATATAGTGTATATATATATAATATGATTTTGAAAATATATAATGTATATAGTTTTTTAAAATCTATAGTTTTCATATATATATATATATATATTTGGCCACTTCAACCCTAAATCGAGAAATGATCCTCTTCACATGATCTTATCTACTCCGAGAGATATATATATATATATTTGGCCACTTCAACCCTAAATCGAGAAATGATCCTCTTCACATTATCTTATCTACTCATGATCTTACCTACTCCGGGTTATTATGATATTATACTTACCTTGAATCCACTCAAAAATTTAAGATTAAAGTTCTTATTTAACCAAGCTCAAAAATTTTAATTTGGAACATAAACTTTTCCGGTTATCAAACAGAAAATTAAACAAAAACTTTAAACCAAAACTAAAAATAAAATTTAGAACACAACCTTAAATCAAAATTAAACACAAAATCTCTAGGTTTATATTAAACAAAAATATAACACCATAGATCAGTACAACACACAGTCGACCGATTAGAATACCATACAGAACCACCAGAGTGGCTAACTAAAATTTTGCTTTTTAACTTTCCATTTAAAACAACCGTTTGTAATACTCATGCTTAGATAAATCAAACACAATTTAAATACAAGATTTTACATCAGGAGCTCCCAAAAATAATAATTCAAATCATACAGACCACTGTTTAAAATAAGTTACAACTTTAATATACAAAATGGGGTTTACAAATATACATGCCCTCTAAAGAAAAACATGAGACACACTCTGCACTAGTATGATCTGGATAACTGCGGGCAAAAAGGTCCTCAGACTTTTCCTCGACTAACATACGTAAGGAAACAAATTCCAAACGTTGAGCTAACTAGCCCCGTGTCACACTAACAACTAAGTCATACTAAAAGTGTTCATGACATGCTGAAGCTAATTGATAAACTACAATAGTGAGTATACTTGTATACTGCACTCTATACTCTATAATAGACATCATGGTGCGATTGAGAGTTTTGTATCTAGGAGCTCACACACCCCTCTAGTCTACCGAGGATGGTGCTCAGAATTCCTGCATCGGTCAACACCCTCGATTAGTCCACTCCTTGAGTGTCGGAGCTTGCGCTCAAGCTACTCAGCTTAAAGTGCATCGCGCACAACCTAAGGATTTATCCGGACTTATTCTATACTTCCAAATGAACTCGGGTGTCCTGATCGTTTCCCGAACATCAATCAAGGCTAGTTTTATGTCACCCTAATTTATCTCGTTTCTAATTGTGATTAAACATCATTAATGTTCACACTTGTAGTGTTATTTAATGATATACTGAAGTGTTGGGTACCTCGAGTGTAATTCCCTTAAAAACTGACTTTCTTGCCCAAAACAAACTGTTGGTATCGATATTGACCCTTAAGTATTGATACCTTTGACTCAGTATCAATACTTTATGTAAGTATCGATACTGAAAAGGCTACTGGCTCGACCTGCATAAGGAACCAATTTTTCCCAAAAAATCATGATTTTTCCCAGAAATGAAGAACAAGTCTTGATACTGACTCGACCTGCATAAGGAACCAATTTTTCACGAAAATCTTTATTTTCCTATCCCAAAAACCCTAAAGAGGTCCCTAAACATTATTAATGTTTTATGCAAATACAAAAGAGCATAAATAAGGCTTTTATCATATATAACTCTAAAACATAAAATCTACCATGAGAATGCTTATCATGCTCAAACTCAACCATTATACCATCTTACTCTTCTAATGACTCACTAATGGTATAGAAGAGTTGTGAATGTGTTACCTTGCTTCCTTAATGGCTAGGACTCTCCCCAATCAACCAAGGTTCAAATTTTCTTTTCCTCTAGCTTGAGAGCTTTATCCTACCTCCTTCACTAAACAAAAGTGAGAAAAGGGAATACTAATTCATCTAGCGGTTGGATGCAAACTAAATAAACTCCATATAACCCAAATCATAACTAGAATCCATTGATTCCCTTAAACTTCTCCAAACCCATTTTTGGTTCAATGCTTAAAAACTTGTGAAATGAAGCTCAAAATGAAGCTAGAAGGATGAGGGTTAATAATCTTACCATGGATTGATCCAACTAGGCTTGAATTTCTTTGAGTTTCACGCTTTAGGAAGGATGAAGAAGAAAGAATGATGAGAAGATGGGAAGAGTATTTGGTGAGCTAAGTAAGGGGTGGTTCACGTGAAAAACATAAATTTAAGGAGGGGTTTCAGTTTTTAAAACAATCAAGGGGAAAATTGCACTTTTGACCCCTCAACTCCTATTTCATACAAAATTGCTTAAAAATTGTAAAAATAGTTTGAGGGCCATATTATTATTTTTTTGGGAAAAATGGTTCGAGGGCCTCACGTACCATTAATTCTTCTTAAATATACAATAGAAAACAAACATTTACCTAAACTGAATTATATCATTCAAATAACTATTATATATATTTTTATTTTTATGAGATGATTACAATGAATTATTTTTTTTAGAATTTTTCTTAGTCTATGACAATTTATACACACATATGAGTGTAAATGAACAGAACGTTCGATGAATTGTTAATGAATCGTCCATATAACATTCGTTTATTAAGCTAAATAAATGAGTATATACAAAATCTTTATGTTCATTTAATAAATGAATATAAGTGTGTTCGGCTCATTTATGTTCACAAATAAGCCGTTCGTTTACGTTCTTCAACAAGCTCATTTCAAAGCTCATTAACTTTTTTTACATTTTTGAAAATCGATGAATGTAGGGACTAAATTCAACATGAAATTTGGAGTTTAAACTACAAAGCTTAAGGAGTTTAAGCGGTAGTGGCGTAGGTTTACCATTTTTTGCTTTCAAATGAACATGTTCTCAAATATATAAATGAACACCAAAATAAACATATAAACGAATGTCAAACAAACATGTTCACAAACGCTAAACGAACATGTTCACAAAACATATAAATTAACATGTTCGTGAAAGTTAAATGAAAGAAAACAAACACCTTAATAAATAAATAAATGAACACGAACATGATATTAAAAATTTAAACGAATGCGAACTGAACAAGGACACCTTTAAAAATAAACAAACGAACATAAGTGTTTTATTATAAATAATTAGTTCAAGCCTAGTTCATTTACACTCATATACACACATTGCAAATAAAACTACTCAAGCTTGAATCCTCTAAGAAGAATAACATTTGTTTTCATCATTAAGCTCACTCAATGAATCTCATGATCGTTATGTTAATTTATAAATAATTAAACTTTTATTATATGATCAAACTTTTTTTTATAAGGATGGCAAATGGATGGGACGAGTGTGGATACCCCTTCTTTCATCCCCATACTCATTTAATATTTTTGTATATCCACCTACCTTGGTGATGGGTAAAATTTTTAAACTCACACTCGCTCACGTGGATACATTCTCAAATTCATCCCCACACCCACTACCCAAATAGATACTCATTACTCATCTTGTACTCATCTGTATTCACCCATACCCGTCAATTTGATATAGAAGAAATGACAATCTTTAATTTTAAAAATGTTTATAGCCTAAGATTTGGTTAAATTACAAATCATGTCCAATAAAACTTTAATATTTACAGAATAGTCTCTAAAATTATACCTAAATTCATTATGGTCCAAAATTTATATGGTGTGTAGCTAGTGAGCAGGCGAATGTGGGGCAGGCGAATGTGGGGCAGACAATGTCTCAAACCCATCACCTACCCACTATCCACGATGAGTATGACTGCTTAGATCCACACCCGCTTGCTACCTTCTAAACTTATACTCATCCTCGCCCCAATTAGAACAAGTATTGTGCGAAAACTACAAAATTGTATCTGTCTGTCTTCCCTATTTTTTTCATATATATATATAATTAACAAATTTATCATATGAGTCATGAACTAGTTTAAACTTTATTAAATTACATAAAATAGTTAATTTAGATATTCTAAATCATAAAGGTGAAATTATAATAATGAGAAGATTATAACGTATGCTCTGACGTCTAGCTGTAATTCACATGTATGCATTAAGAAAAAAACAAAAGAAAAGGACACCATAAATGTCAATTTGTCTTTTTTTTCTTTCGGAGTGAATATTTGGCATTACGCTAACAAAGATGCACAAATGTAAAAAATCACCTAGTGGAGGTCCCATAAAATATAAAAATACTGGCCACCATAAGTCCATCCACTTGAACATTATTGGCATTATTTTATTGATAACACTCGTATTCCCTTTTATATATAAAACAATTTCTGCTGAAATTGATAAACGCTTATCTCAAATGGAAGTAACAACAATTATTTACTCATCTCTTTCCCTAATCTTCCTTCTCCTTTGTTTAAACTTGTTGTTCCAGTCAAAGAAACTCCCCAAAAACCTCCCTCCATCCCCACCTTCACTCCCCATACTCGGCCACCTCCACCTCCTTAAACCTCCTGTCCACCGTTTCTACCATTCTCTTTCTCAAAAATATGGTCCAATCTTCTCCCTTCGCCTTGGCTCTCGGCTTGTGGTGATTGTTTCATCTTCCACCGCGGCGGAGGAATGCTTCACCAAGAACGATGTACTTTTGGCTAATCGTCCCAATTTGATCATATGGAAGTACTTAGGCTACAACTACACCACAATTACATCTTCATCCTACGGTGATCATTGGCGCAACTTACGTCGCATCGGCGCCATTGAAATCTTCTCGTCTAGTCGTCTCAATGCCTTTGCGAGCATCCGGAAAGATGAGGTCCGGCGGTTGTTGGTGAAATTGTCGCGTGACTCGCGTCGAGGATTTGCAATAGTGGAGCTCAAGTCCATGCTTCATGACTTGACGTTCAATAATATAATGAGGATGCTTGCGGGGAAGAGGTACTACGGAGACGAAGTGATGGATGACGATGAAGCGAGCGTATTTAGGGAGCTTATAGAACAGACGGCTAGCTATGCGGGATCGGGAAATCGTTCTGATTTCATGCCTGTGTTGAATTGGTTTGAAGGGTATGAGAAGAAGGTGAAGAAGCTTGGGGAAAAGATGGACAGATTGTTGCAAAAGTTGATAGATGAGCACCGATATAAGAAGCTGGAAAATAATAATAATATATATAATAGTACGATCGATCATCTTCTTAACTTGCAACAATCTGATCCTCATTACTATACTGATGAAATAATCAAAGGGCTTATGTTGGTTAGTTCAAATCTTCTTTCTTCTAGTTCCATCGTTTCAATAATAAAAAACCATGTTAATATAAATAGGATTCTTTATATCGCCATGTAAATAACAAGCATGGTTATTTTGCAGGTGCTAATATTTGCAGGAACTGATACATCAGCAGTGACCTTAGAATGGGCAATGTCCAATTTGCTAAACCATCCAGAAGTATTGAGGAGGGCTAAAGCTGAAATAGACAGTGAGATAGGGGAAGAAAATCTGATCGATGAATCGGACCTCCCAAAGCTGAAATATCTTCAAAGTATTATACATGAGACACTTAGATTATACCCTGCAGTCCCTCTTCTGCTCCCACACGTGCCATCTAGTGATTGCACCATTGGTGGATACGATGTTCCGCGTGGCACGATCGTGTTGGTAAATGCATGGTCTATTCATAGGGATCCAAATTCATGGGAGGACCCAACAAGTTTCAAGCCAGAGAGATTTGAGAATGATGAGAAATTAGGGGGAGATGATGATTTAGGGACTCACAAGCTAATGCCATTTGGGTTAGGAAGAAGGGCATGCCCAGGAGCAGGGCAAGCTCAAAGAGTGGTGGGGTTAACCTTAGGAGCATTGATTCAATGCTTTGAGTGGGAAAGGATTGATGGCAAAGTGATTGATATGGTTGAAGGAAGAGGAGGCACCATGCCTAAAGCTCATCCGTTGAAGGCTTTGTGCAAAGCTCGCCCCATTGTGTATAGAACGTTTTATACTAATTAGTTTGTAGGGTTTTTTTTTATTAAAACATGTTAAATATTGTTATTGATTGTATGGAGTTATAACCAAGCATGTGGAATATTAACTTATGTAGCTCTTGAATGGGGATATCAGTGGGATGAATTTTGCGAAATCTGTTTTAATTTGTATCCAGATGAATACAGATTTTAGGGGTGGTAGAGATGAAAATAGAGATGAAAATTAGGTTTGCTGTACGTGGTGGTGTAGGAGTGAATATGATCCAGTACTTATCTCATCTCTCTCCGCTCTGTATCATCGTTAGCATTTAGATATTATGTACGAATTTTATTCAATAATTAAATACGAAAAGCATTCGGACCTCTGACTAAATATCTCAAGATATGTCCTGTTGTTAACAAATTTAAACCTATGGCTGGTGTGCCTTGGTAAAAAGACAAACTCATGCCTAACATAGATTGAAGATTGCAGCATCTTATCTAAGCTCAGGTTGAACATTTAGGGACATGAAAGCGAGAGCAGCAGCTAGCTCTGTAGAGGCGAATTACACTCTTTTCAAGCATTTATATCTGGATTCCAATTTGTAACACTGCAATTAACAAAAAATTATGCCGCAATAAAGCTGCAACTAACATCCAAATTACCCTAAATATAAAATTACATAGATTTTTTGAAACAAATCATGCCCACAGTAGTCGTTACGCATTACGTAATATCCGCAACCACGATACCGCAATAACATCCGTGACGGAATGCAATAGGAATTTAATACTATGGCCCTACTAAGTCTAATAAAGTTCTCTATCCTCCCTCATTTTTTATTTATATTGGATTTAGCTAACTCGAAAGCATGCATTTATCTGACTACATATACACCTTTCTTCCCTTTCTCCTTTTTCCTCTATTTTACTAGTTTTTTTCTTTTCTTTTCTTTAATTAAGAGAGATCAAACGAGCCCATGTAGACATCGTTTTACAATAAGGAGGACCAAATATAAGTCTTGATGAACAGCTGGTGGAGAATCATGAACGTCCAAGGAACACTGGTGGGGACTGCTTCCACCAATCGCACATCCGTTGTACCATATGGAAAATGGGTCTAATCAGGCCCTGGCTGCTTCTAAAAGTTCTTTTTACCTCTTCAAAAGGGACTATATCGATCCTAGAACGACCTTTGAAAGGGGAACCACAAACACAAATGCACGAGTGCATTGGAGGCCGACGTGGTTGTTGGTGCAGAGCCGATTGGAAACTGAAGCAACACTGGCGGCGTATGCCAACCAAAGATTGAGTTTAAAATTTGGCAAAGTATATTTGAGACCCCTGTACTTTTCCAAAGAGACCAATTTGGTTCTCAAATATTTTTTGTTTTCAATGCGGTCTTGAGTATTTTTTGGCTCGGGGCGAAAATAAAAAAATGGGCCCCAATTTAAAAGAAATTTAAAAAAATGTGTAACACAAAAAGTTTATTAGAAATTTTTTATTAAATTAAACATAGTAATTCATTACAATATCAAAAATGTCAAAAAGTATATTTAAGCAAATAAATACTTATAAAAAACATTGCCTTCAGGTATTCTAGATACTAAATCTTTGATGATAATGTCAACATCAATGTTTTTTAACATATTTTTTCTCATACATAACATAGCATCTGAAAATAATAGAATGATTTTATCTAGAATTTAGAAATATATAAAAATCAAAAGAAAGAATTTGAAAACATAGTTTACCTAAAATTTTAAGAACAATCTTCAATATGATTCAATCACCACAATTTATGGTAAACAATTGCGACCTTGTGATTGTGAGAAATATGAGAAATTAAAAATTGAGAGTAATAATTTTAAGAGAAATAGTGAAAAAGAAAAAAAAAAGGAAAGAAGCATACTAATTATACTTAAAGTTTTCCTCCCATTGAACTTTGAAGAGAAAAAATAACGTTAATAAATTTTCTATTGATATGGAAAATTGAGAAAGAGAGTTGGTGAATTGATGGTGAGAATTTGGAAAGAAAAAATTAAAAAAATCAATTGGATTTTTTTAATTTTGGGAAAGAAATATTGAAATAGAGTTTTATGAGGAGTTGAACAATTTATTAACGTTAATATAAAAATTCAAAGATACCAATTGTCAATTTCATAAGTTGAACAATTTATTAACGTTAATATAAAAATTCAAAGATACCAATTGTCAATTTCATAAATTCATGATTTTCCATTATTTTATTTTACAGTTTTTAAATAATTTATTAAAAATAAGAAAAATATTATGCTATTTTTTAATTTGTAGGCCTTGGGCTAGCGTCACTCTTGCCCTGGGACAGGGTCGGCCTTGTGACCCTTTTATCAATGTTTTCCATCGTTGACCATTACGATACTGATGTGGCACTCCACGGTGTTAATGTGATAGTCCACGGTGAATGGTGACATGGCTAGTGGGCTAAATTGGTTTTTTCAAGTTCGAAGGCTAATTTTTTTTAAGTTCAAAGTTTTTTTTGTTTTTTTAAAAATACTAATATTTTAAATTTTAAGATATAAAAATATTAATTTTAATATAAAATATCATTAATTATTAGTATTATTTATTAAATAAAAAATATTAAAATGAATCAATATTTACTATTAAATTAATAAAAATGAAACATGAGTAAAAAGTAAAATAAAATAAAATATCAGTATACGAGAATAAAGAATACATCATTTAAAAATAAAAAAAAATCTCCATACCAATACGGATAAAATAAGTTCTCAACAATTATTTATATTGCATTACAAATAATTATCCTCCAATCAAATTTATATTATTTTAATCATAAATTTATTAATTCATAATTATCTTTTTCATTATCATAACATATTAATACCAAATATTTCTTTAGATATATAAAAATTTATAACTAACTCTAAAATATCTACGCTCTACCATACTTCCTAACATTATTATCTGTTTCAAAATAATGACACTAATATTAAAGGTGATAAAAAATACTTAAGTGAAAAAATCAATTTTAAGAGGGGCAGAAAATAAAAATCAAAGAACTAAAGGGTTTAACATATATTAGTAGTATTTTAACATATTTGTATTTTTTTTTTAAAAAGTAAATAAACCCTTGAACTTAAAAAAAATTTGCCCCTTGAACTTGGAAAGAAAACTCAATTTAGTTAATCTGATACGTCACTAGTTACTGTGGACTACTACGTCAGTACCATAAATTGTCACGTCAGTATCATAACGGTCAATGAAGAAAATTGTTGGTCAAGGGATCATATTAAGTTATTTTTTCTAAGTTCGAGGACCACATTGAGTAAAACAAATTCGAGGACCACATTGATTTTTTTTTGAAAATTACACGGACATTAGGTACCCTTTGTTTTAAAATTTTTGTTTAGGAATTAGGGTTAATGTTGTTCGACTGAAGGTGTGGTCCTGGTTAGACTATTGGATTAATGTAAGCATATGAGATGGATCTGATAGTTGAGCCATTGGATTATGTATTTTGGTCTAACAATATGTTACTTCATTTGGGCTTAATTTTTATTTTATTTTAATTTATTATATTTTTATATTATAGTTTTTGAGCCTTGGTTTCCCAAAATAAAATTTACTATTAGATTCAAATCTTAATAAAAATAAGATAATAAACCACAAACATAATAAAATTTTAATCGAGAGAACTATGATAATATTTTCTTTCTCTATCAAAAAAATATACATTCTTAACAAAACAAAAGAAAACAAACATTTACCTAAAAAATTGATTTCTATCATTGGATGACTATTATGTTAATTTATAAATCATTAATGTGTGTTTTGAAAACCCTCTGTGCTAGGGTTTCTCCTTACCGAGTGGTAGTCGTCTCCCTATTTCTTGTAGCCTCTGAGATTTTTTCAATTTTTAAGTTTGTTTTTTGCGTTCGTGGGTTTGCCATGGGGGAAATTGTGCGTGATTTAGAGGATTTGACCTTGGGTGAAGAGGAGGAGGTTAGTTTGGTCCTAGTTTCATCGATATCTCCCACTTTTATTTCTTTTGATAATTGTTTTATGGGATGTTTCCTGTCAGCGTGCATGGTGAATTTTCAGGCAATGAGAGTGACTTTATCGATGTCTGGAAACTAATTGGGGGGATTTCTATCACTGAATTGGGTGCTAGTAGATTTTTTGGGGGGATTTCTATCACTGAATTGGGTGCTAGTAGATTTTTATTTCGGTTATTCCATGAGGGTGACGTGGATCGAATAGAAGCGGAAGGTCTGTGGTACTTTAATTCTCATCTCTTAGTTATGCACAAGATGAAACAGGGGGAGATCCGATGATGGCGAAGCTAAATTAGGTTGTGTTTTGGATTATAATCAATGACCTACCGATTGTGTATTTTTCTGAACATGTTGCACAACAATTTGGGAATTTTATTGGTAAATTTGTTGAGTATGCTTCTTTGGCTATTACATTGGGTTATAAAGGGAGCATTCGGATGAGAATTGTATTGGATACTCGAAAACCTTTAAAGAGAATGAAAAAGATTGCGTTGTCAAACGAGTCTTTCTCTTATGCTCAATTTCAGTATGAAAAACTGAGATTATTTTGTTTTAGGCGTGGAAAATTAAGGCATAGTGAAAAATATTGCCTACTTCGAATTATGCAGGATAAGAAGGATCAGACGCTGTTGTGGGATGGTTCAATTTGTGCTGCTCCACAAAGAAAGGGGATTACCACAAGCTCATGGTTATATGAGGAACAGGGGAATGGAGAAGTCGGGGCGTATAGGGTGGTTAGTCCTAAGTAGATTTTATATCAGGGCTTAGGTGCCACAGAGCAAACAAAAGCTTGGGTGTCTCGATCTTTCCCGACAGCTAATGTGGTAGGAGATGATAACATACTGGGGATGTCACAATGGTTGCAGTGGATAAAGAGAATCCCATTTATAAGGCAGACAATGTAAAGCGACAGAAGAGCGGTCCAACAGTCTCGTCTAGTGTTGGGGAGTTAAATACTAGAGGTGAAGTTGTATCGGCATGCCTAAATGATTAGGCTAGTCGG